ACATATGAGAGGTCAGGAATATGAACAGCTCTCACAGGGAGGAAAGAGAACTACAGCTTTTTCCTGTGTGCAACAAGATTATGCACAACTCCAGAAGCAACTGGAGGCAGATCTCACCCGTGGTATTACAGAAATCTGAGCCTGACTACAAATTCAAGCCTTAGGGGCTGCAGGGGAAGCAACTACAGAGTCTTCAGAGAAACCTGGGGACACAACTGGTAAAGTTCATGTGCTGGATCTATGAGATAACTAGCAACACATTACAGGGGGGAAAAAAATGAAGTGAGGTACCTGAAAGAGGAATCTTTCAGCGTTCAAATCCTTTTGTGAATATAGCATGTAGCCTTTCTCCAGCAGTCATGTTCAATATGCACTATGATTTTCCAAGGCTGAACTGAGCTGTATCACTTAAGGTAAAACCAATTTATTTTTACAAATCTGTCCATCATTCTGAGTATTCGTGTCTCTTCAGTGCACACAAAACTGAGTTTTGAGCAAGGGGCTGATATTTGGATATGTACAATGGGTAAGACGATACCGAGGCAAAGCCTTGAAGCTCAGCTACAAGACAACTAAAATAAATCATGTCTAAATGACATCACTGAACAGTAAAAAAATGTAAATAAACGTAAATAAATGGTGTATTTCACAATAATAGCAGTGTTCTAAATTGTGTAAGTTAATGGATTTGGCAAATGTTACCTTCTGCCACCAAAGAACAAGATAAAGCAGTTTTTTAAAAACTGTGTACTTCCCCCATATCAACTTTCTGAGAGTCTCATTATTCCCTGTTGGAAAAAAGGCCATTTGTTGTAACGTTTTGGTTGTTGCTTAAGAGGTTTTACATAATTGTTTGCACTAGATATCAGGAACTTGTTTGAAGAATTTGGGTGAGCCCAAAAAACCCTCATCACTTCTACTGCACTACGTAGATCATTCTTATTGTCTGCTCTAAGGAGAGCACAAATCAGAAATATCCTCTTTATTGTTTCCTTCATATTTATTTTTTTCACCATTAACACACAGCAAAAAGAGTGTTCACTTTGGGTGAAACAAAAATTACCCAATGAAGCACAGGGCTTCACAAATATTACTAGACTGAGTATGCCTAGAAGTGATAATATCTGTACTGCCCTGGTAAGAACAGGAAGAATCACAGAAGCTGTAGGGACAAACTTTTAACACAGTATTTAATCAGGTGTGGGTATGCTTCCTTCCATATACAGTTTTCATTTTCATTCTTTTTTCTTTTCATTCATTTCATGTTCATTTTCATTCTTCAGCTCATACAACATTCCTGTTTAGTAAACTTTATAGGGAAATCAAAGACATGTTGATGTGTTCTTGTAAGAGCTTGTTGCCAATTGCTTGCTGCTATTCTTTCTCTTGAATATAAAAATACACAAAGTAAAGTGATGGGAATAATTCCTATAGCTTTAGGTGTTCCTAGTTTTTTTTGTGGCCTAGAGAGACATCAAACTAATAAACTAAAATTTACACCATATAGCCACATTTTGTTCTGTGCTAGAATAAACATATTAGTGGTGTAAAACATGCACATTCCACTCAATTTAATGACAGTAAATAGCACTACTAATAACACCTGCAGGATTGGCCCTCTTTTTATCAGAACATCTATACCATTCTCCGTTACCACTATCAATTCTAACAGCTGCAATTTAGCTAGGTAATCATTCAAATGAAATTAAAACTTCCTTTATCTTTTTCACAATGAAAGGTGCTTCTAGATTCCTATTTCAACAACAAAGAAATCCTTGGTCATATTTTAAGGGCAGTTTTAATTAGAAGTGCTTATTACTTTTGAGTTCTTCCATCACCTTTCTCCACATGTATGCTTAAACCTCCTATTGCAATTATTAACATACATATGTTGACAGGGTAATGTTTCCAATATTTATGATATTAAATGGTGATTCCAGTACAAGCTGTCAATTATTTGAGTGGAGAAAACTCAAAGGATGTTGCAAACTCTGCTATTGACACCTGCTGTCCACATTCACCTTGGAATGGCTTTGGTAGGCAGGGTTGGACAACAGTCACCAAATGGATGGAAAGGACTGAAGCACTGAGAGGGTGCAAAGGGATCCGAAGCAAAGAGCCAAAATGCTGTGAACAAAGATTCATCAGGAACCTGCAGAAGAAAACACAGTCCTGCATGGTCATTATTCTGGGGTCTCCACCTTGGGACATCTAGCTTACAGTCCATCCCTCACCAGACTGTTCCCAGCAAGCACCAGCTGTCCGTGACTGCTGCCATCTACTACAAAATCAAACCTCCAAGCTCTTCTCTATCTTGACCACAGCAGGACATTCTCAGGCTGGCTACTGATACCTCGTTTTGTGTAGCAGAGGTACAGGTTACAGCAGTTAACCCACTAATGAGGAGGATATGCTGCCATGACAGTGCAGCTAGGGAAGGGTTAAAGTGCTGGAACTCGAGGTGGAGGGAAGGAGGGAGGGAAGGAAGGAGGGGAGGGAAGGAAGGAAGGGACAAACAAGACTCTGAAGAGGTAGGGGGCAGCAACAGAGCAAAGAAACGAGAATTATTTTGACAAAGAAGGAAATGGAACTCTGCAGGGTCATTCCTCCTTTCATGTAAGAGGGACAAGCAGAGAAAGTGACAGGACTATCAGAACAGAAAGCTCAATAAAAAAACACTGGGCAAGTACAGTATATACCTGAAGAAGTAAGTGCCTCTTCCAGCTGCTTTTTCTCTACCTCTTTGGTGGGAGTGTGAATTTTGTCTCATACACCTCCTACCTTCCGTAGTTCTGTTAAAGGCCCTTTTTCCCTCCCTCATCTGCTGGTTAAGTAGCATTGCTGTTGCTGCACTCCGAGATGGCACCAGAAGTTGTGGATTTATACTGTACAAGGTATGGAGATGGTAGCCAGTACTACACCAGAAGAAGGTACCTTGAGTTAGATGCAGGACAGGAGAATGTTGGAGGAGTGGCAACATGTTTTGCTCAAAGGTTTTACTTTTGTTTTCCTATTGTTAGACAAAGTTGTGCACAAGCTGAAGAACTGTGGCATAGGGGAAGCCCACAGATACCCTTAGGTTTTCTTCTACACACAAAATGAGAATTGGGCTCTCCACAAATAACTTCTGAGAGGCCTGCAGCATCAGAAGAATTCTCTTCCATCTCTGCAACAAAGGAAACCAGAGAACTCAGCAAAAAACATTACAATTATATCTTTCTTCCTCTCCTTTGTTGGGCACAAGACATGCTTTTGGTGGAGACACCTGATGGGATGAAAAAAACATCCGCATTATTCTTTCCCCCCCTCTCTTCCAGACATTAAATCAGTGCTGGAGTTATGGGAATCTACACATGCATTATCCGTCCTGTTGGAATCAAAACATGAGCGTATGAAATGCAGTACTCAACATTTTTTTTTCTGGGTTAAAATTCATGTGCAAACTAAATGTGATTGTCTCTTTATCTTTTGGACTGCCACTCAGATAATCAGAGGGTAAAAAGCATTACTTGTGCTGTCTGAATGAAGGGAAAATTTCACCGACTTGGTATCGGCTTTAAAATCATACCAGATACCAGGACCTATAGAAGAGCAACTTTTCAATCAACAATACCTGATGGTGAGGTCATCAGATATCCAAGGTCCTGCTCCAGAATATGGGTTACTGATCAACCCGGGTCACTGAAAGTTCAGGTTGTCTGTCTTGTACTTTGCAGACAGCATGGCTGTTTTAAGCAACGCTTTTGAAACTGAAGGACATAAATATCTTGTGCTCGGGTTTGTTCCAGGTAACACCAGTAGGTCTGTTTGACCACAGCTTCTATATAACACAGGGCAGCAAAGGAAGATGTTGTCTGTCTTCACCCCTTCAAAATATTAATTGAAACATTGACATTTTACTGTCAGTTACGCTACAAGCTTTTATGAGTTAGTAACAACTCTCTTCCTTGAAATACCCAGGAGTCTAGAGCAGAAATTTCAGCTGTTTTGAGCTTTAAAAAAAAATGTTTCAGATTTCTCACACATATAATTCCATTCAGTTTCTCCTGGGTGATGCTGCATTTTGATTCATTGTGTAGATTAAGCAGGTGCCGTAGGACCAGAGGTAAACATCAGATGGTAGTTTGACCAGCTCTGTTGTGTTTTAAAGAAAGTAATAATGGAATGCTGCTATAAAATCATAGGATCATACATGTCAAGTTGACTACAGCACTAAATGACATATCCGGTCTTTCTTTAACCACCTTCAGGGATGGTGATTCCACCACCTCTCTGGGCAGCACCTCTCTGGGCAGCACATTCCAAGGTCTAATCACCCTTTCTGTGATGAAATTCCTCCTGATGTACAACCTACACTTCCCCTGGCCCAGTGTCCTCTTGTCCTGTCACTGGTTATCTGGGAGGACAGGCTGACCCCCTCCTGCCTACAGCCTCCTTTCAGATAGTTGTAAAGTGATAAGGTGTCTCCTGAGCCTCCTTTTCTCCAGGTTAAACAACAACAGCTTCCTCACCTGCTCCTCACAGGAGTAGTGTTCTAGACCGGCTTTGTTTTCTTTCTCTGGGCTTGCTCCAGCACCTCAAGTGTCCTTTGTGCATTGAGGAGCCCAGAACTGGGCGCAGTACTTAAGGTGTGGCCTCACCGGTGGAGTACAGGGCAAGTGCTGCGTATAGGGGAAAATTATGTATCTGAGCAAGAAATAGCACCTGAGAAGCAAATCACGCTTGCAAATTACGAGTTTTCTCAGAAACACCTGGCGAGGTGAGGGATGGGAAGAGCGTGAAACGCCGGCAGCAATAAATGGTAAGTTCCTGGGAGTTTATAAGAGCTAAAGGGCCGGGAAGACAGCCCCAAAGCGCCGTGACAGCCGGGCCAGGCGCTCCAAGCTCTCCCGAGCCGGGCCCTGTCACACAGCGTTCCGCGGCGGCCGGTGGCAGCGCGGGCAGGCGCGGAGCGGAGGCAGGAGGGCGCGCCCGCCCGCGGGGCCCTGCCCGGCGGCGCGGAGCGGAGCGGAGGCGGAAGCCGCGCCGATGAGTTGTGCGCGCTGGGCTGCGGCCGTGCGGAGCCCCGCGCTGTGCCGAGGTAAGAGCGGAGCGGCCCTGCCTTGTCCCCCGCGAGGATGTGGGGACGGGGCGCTGTCATCGCCCTGGCCGCACTGGCCGCGGCCCTGTGGCTGCGCCGTGACGTAGGTACAAAGCTCCGAGCGCCGGCCCGGGCGGCAGGCGGGGGCGGGCGGCAGGGCCGGTGCGTGCTCCCACGGCACGAAAGGTCGCCGGGCCGAGGCGGCCCCGCGTCGCTCCTGCCGGAGAGCAAAACCAAAGCGAAGGGGCGGCAGCGGGGCCCGGCACGATGCAGAGCACCCCCTCCTGCATCGGGGGCCGGCCGGGCCGCTCACCTGCCCCGCGGAGGGACGGCCGGGGGCGGGGGAAGCGCTCGCAGACCCGACCCCCAGCACCGCCGCAGGGTCCGCCAAGGGCAGCGGCTGCCGGCTCCCCGCGGGCCTGCGGGCGGCGCCGGCTGCGGCGCGGCTGCTGTGGCGGCCTGCAGGGGCAGCGCTGCCGCGCGTGTGTGCGCCGGGGCGGGGTGCGGGGGGAAGCCCGCCCGCCCTGGGCTGCCTGACACGGCGGCCGGGGCGCAGCGATGTCGCTGCCCGCGCTGGCGCGGCGCGGCCCGGCACGGCGCTGCGCGGGGGTGAGGTAGGCGCCGAGCGGAGCTGCACCCCTGTGTGTGTGTGTGTGTCTGTGTCTGTGCGTGTGTGTGTGTGCAGGGATCGCGCTCCATTGCGGCGGGGAGGGAGGGAGGAGGAGGAAGGGAGGGAGGCAGGCGCACTGTGATGAGCAGAGCCTCCAAGTCCAGCCAGCGCCGTCGTCCTGTCGCTCCCAGCGGAGCCCGGGGCGGAGGAGCGGCAGCGCACGGATGACTGCCTGAGTGGGGAGGAGGAGGGAACCGCGGCTCCGCGCCGGGTGCCCGCTTGTTTATTTTTTATTTATCGTCATCGTTTTTGGGGGAGGCGAGTGAAGGGAAGGAGGCTTTTCTCTTTTTTTTTTTTTTTTTTTTTTTTTCCTTTGCCACCTCACCACCCCTCTTGTTGCAGGTGCCCGCAGCGCAAAGCGGCGCCTGGAAAGTTTTGTTCGCGTGCGTGCGGGCTGCGAGCGGCGGCGGCCCGGGATGCGGGTCCCGGGGCCCGGCTCTCCGCCGCTTCCCGCCGCACCGCGGCTGCCGGGGCTGGCGTAGGCGCCCCCTGGGAGAGCCGCGTGCGGGCATTAAACCCCCTCCCTCCTCCCCGCCGCCCTCCTCCGCCCCCTCCGTCCCTCCCTCTCTCCCTCCCTCTCTCCTTCCCTCTCCCCGGTGCGCGGCCATTGCAGTGACCCCGGCCGGCCAAGGATGATTACGAACACGCGGGGCTTCCTGTGGTCGGATCTGGAGACGCGGGCGCTGCTGGAGATCTGGGGCGAGGCGGACGTGCAGTCGGCGCTGGACGGCAACTTTCGGAACAGCCATGTGTACCGGGACGTGGCGTGCCGCCTGGCCGAGCTGGGCTTTGAGCGCACCCCCGAGCAGTGCCGCATCCGCATCAAGGGCCTCAAGCGGCAGTACTACCAGGCCCGGGACGGGCTGAAGAAGAACGGGCACGCCCGCAAGATATGCAAGTACTACGACGAGATGGACCGGATCCTGAGCTGCCGGGGGGGGCCCGACGGCGCCCCCGAGCCGCTGGTCCCGGCGCCCGCGGGGCCGCTGCCCGCGCCGCCCACGCCGGGCACGCCGCACAACAGCCGCGAGCTGGACCCCGAAGTGGACGAGGACAACGGGCCGGAGTCCCCCCGCGACAACTTCACCGAGGATTCCGGCGAGTGCTCTTCGTACGCCGACCACCCCATCAAGGTGGAGTGCCCGTCCTTCGCCATCCCCGTGCCGCCGGGTGACGGTGAGTAGCCGGCCGGCTCCCGGCGCCGGGTGTCCTCCCCTCACCCCCGGGCTCTCGCAACCCGGCTGCCGGCGCTTCTCCCTAGCTAGCGCGCTTCTCAAGTGGCTTTTACCTTATCCTGCTGCCTCCTGCCCCGTCCTGCGCGCTCCGAAACCCGCCCGTGCCTCCCCCCACTCTTGCACCTTGCGCGTCCCCGTGAAGTGGGGAGCCCCATGGAGCGGGCTGCTGCGGGTGCTGGAAATGCGGCATGCCGGGGAGGGGGAGATGCTGCGGACAGTGACCTGAGTGAGGTTTTTATCGGTATTTATCAATGGGGAGCCAGCCCATGGAAAACTAGCGCAGAGATTTTCGAGACAAAGTGTCAGGTAGCATTGTAAAAGAAAATAAGCATCTCCTCGCTGGAGGATTTTCCCATTCCCTGCAGACTGTGTGCAGTTTTGCTAATCGGTATTGAAACGATAATGACGATACCTGAAAAATCTTATTGTTGTTGCAGATGGGCCAGAAAGCCAGGGAAGAGCTTTTGCATAATAAATGGCATGGGTTGTTTCAGTAACACTGCTTCTAACTTTATCGGGCTTGCGGACAGAAACAGCACTTTGACAAAGCCTGTCCTTCCCCTGCGCGTTCGTTACCCTCCGCATTTGTATTGTGGAGGTGCGGGAAAATGCTGCTTGTTTTCAATCTAGATTAATGCAGGGTTTTTAATACAAACATGAACCTGTCTTCAGAAGTTGACATCGCTTAGGAATCAGCCAATTGGTTGACATTTCAGCAACCTTCTTTTTTACACTTAACCCCCATCAAAGAGTTGTTTACACTAATGTTCTTTTGAAATGCAAATCTAGAATGCCAACAGACTGAAACTCAATTTAGATTAATGTAATTACCTGCAATACACAAATGAGGCTATACTATTTAATAACCTTCACTTAAACCTTTTTAGAAGATGAAAAAGACTCCTATTGTTGAAGTTTAGTACTACAACAATTAAAATTGCCTCTGTGATTTTTGTGTTACCCTTGCAACTTGGTAGAAGTTTGTAGGTTTGCTTTAGAACTCTGAAAGAAAAAAACCTCAAATAAATACAACTCATATTGAGAAAGTGTAGCCTAATGCTTTGAGATGTTAGGTCACATCTTGTAGGGAGATTTTTTTGCTGCTTTCCTCTTAGAGAATTGTTTTCCATCAGAAAAATAATTGATTCTTTCCTTGCTTTAGGCTTTAAAGAAGTCAGTGCTCCAACTATTACCCCACCTCTCAGTCAGCCCAAAAGATCAAAAAAACGCCATACAAATTTGACATTGGATAAAATGATGGAAAAATTCCTGCAGCAGAGCATGGATACAGATGAGAAATTTTACAGATTCGAAGAGCAGAGGCTCAGAATTGAGGACAAGCGTCGGGAAGCTGAGCATGCTCGAGAACTCCAGATGTTACAGATGTTGGGACAGATGTTGGCTGGAATTTCTTCTACAGTATCACAGAGATCACAGTCTATACCAGCAAGTCCACCTCGGAGAGCGAACCATCGTTCATATGCGGATAACTTTAATTATAATGCTATGACAGCAACACTTTCTCCACCGATAGGTACTTCCTTCTACAGCATAAATAAAAGCTAGGGTACTTTTTAAAACTTCTGTGTGAAAGCACTGGTAGTAAGCAGCTTTTGAAAATAAAAGCTAATTGGAATTATTTAATACTGTGATGAAGGTGTTTGTCTGATGTCAAATGAAATTAAATCATTATTTGTACCATTGTACTGATTATTTAATACAGGTACATTAGTTATAACAAATTTTGATGAGCAAAATCGTACCTTTTGAACCCTGTAAACTTTGGGAATTTTTTTCTACATTCATGTCCCTGTACTGTGAAATTAGGAGAAATTTTATGCATAAAAGGCAGCTAGGAGAGTTACTGGAAGCAATCTGGAAGCATTAGTTACTTTGTAGCAGAAACTTTGCTGCTTTTCAGCTTTAAGTTATCAAGCCTAGCCCAGTATATGAAGTTAAGGCTGTGCATGTGTTTTTTCAGGGCGGGGAAAAGAGTGGAGTTTTGCCTACACTGAAGTAAGTCAGATGTTAAGATCTAGCTTCTTTAAAATAACTTTTTTTACAACAAAATTCTGAATCTTATCAATTAATTAAGTGGGCATAATAGAAGATGAAAATACTTGCTTATGTTTTTGTCTACACCAGCTCTTTATAAATTCTCTGGGCATCTGAATTTACTTTAAGGAAAAGGGCAAAGCAGTATCTCAAGAATTGGTATTTATGCACAAACTCTTCCTTCTGTACCTCCATGTGTGGGCCAGAACCTGATGGTAGCAATCATTAACAAACTTCTTGGGATCTGTGTGCCTGTGGCATTTATCTTTATCATGGTCTCTTTGAACATGGAGGTAGACTGTGCAGGTAGGAGGAAATCAGGAATCTATCAGTGCTGGAACCAGAGTGAAATTGGGGCTTAGTGATTGTAGCTTGCCAAGTGGAAATGCAATAAGTCTTACTGTGTTCTAATTCTGAATTTCATACTGCTTGTAAGAAAAAAAAGTGCAGTTTGAAAAGAGTATAAAAAAAAACAACCACCCAACATGAGTGTTGAATAATAATCTGGCATGCCAGATCCTAAGGGGCATTCTCTGAGTCCTGAGAGGTGGTTTCAGTTGTGTGTTAGTTACCATTTCCCTGTAAAATGCATGGCAGACTGGGTGGTTAGGCCTGTTGAGGGTTTAGGCTGGCAGATCTGATTGTTTCTTGAGTGGATAGTTGGTGTGTAGGATTTCCTGGTGGCAGCAGATTTTTTTTTATAATTTCTGGGGTATCAACAGATAGTGTTTCAAATGTTGTTTTCACTTTTAAAATAAAGGAAAACTGGTGTGCTTTAGAAAATCCCATAGGGAATCCTTTAAGGCTCTAGACTGGGGTGAAGGTAACTACAAGGCCTTACCATTACTTCTGAAAGTTTTTTCCTGAAAAGCTTAATTATGTGTAACAGCCTGAAACTGAGATTCAGTTTTTCTCCCTGGATTTCATCGTATAGGTGTACAGGCATATTGAATTGTGCAAAAATGCATTTTATGTATTTAACTGTAGCAAGAGCAGTTCAAGATTCTAATCTTCTAACTGGCAAAGGTGTAAAAAAGTGGTTACGCTAAAATGTGAACATAATGCTTCAGGCAACACATCTTTTAAGGAATTAAGGTTTCATTTGTTAAGAGCTGTGATTCTGTTGGTAGAGTAGGGCTATATTAAGAATGGCTTTTTGCATAATCCTCTGTTTTCTCTCCATTATTGTGTAGTCACTTTATATTCACACATGAACAAAAACCAGCAGTTAATAAACAGAAGGCCTTCTTAATACCACTGCACTTTAAGAGTTCCAAGCTCTATAATGTTCTTGTGTGGTTGAATACCAGCACGTGTATGAAGTGTGATGTAAAGAAAATATCTGCCCTATTTTCAGAGGAGATGAGCATTTTGTTCTCCTCTGGGTCACTGCAATGCTGTTTTGGCCATAATCCAAAACAGGTTGTGGGGTTTTCTCTTTTATTTTCATTCATTATTTCCCTTCCCCCCCCCCCGCCTTTTTTTTTTTTATTATTTCTCAGTAGGAGTGGGATGCCTGTATTCAAAAGCAAAAGATCAGCCAAGAGTATTTATCATTATTGAAGACTAAAGCATACTATTACTGAAGATTAGCATGTCTAGTTTAGGTTTTGATTCTGTGGAAGACGGAGAAAAAGATTTATTTTGCTTGATAGCACACAGATTTGGAATTTTCTTGTTTATTACATTTTTTCCCCTTATTATGCCCAGTACTTCTGGAACTGTTTTTCTTTTATTTTTCCTTCTTTTTTTCTCTCTTTATTTTGGAGTTGTGGGGTGGGGTTACTGAGTTTTATACAGCTGAAAATAAGGAATATCACAGGAGTTACTTTCTACACAATTATGTTATACATGTGTAGCAGTTGAAAGGTTTTTAGAAGATCTGTAAAACAGAAAGTAAGCATGGCTGTGGTCTAGGACACTGATATTAGCATTCAAATAAGCTGCTCTTCTGAACAGAATTTTGCAGGTAATGAAGAGCTTTTAAGAACTTTTAGTGTATTTTCTGCAGTTTATAGTTAATACATTGTTGATAGAAATAGTTATCTTCACATTTTTCCCATACTGGGTAAATGTTTTATTTCTTTCTAGTTGTAATTGTTGAAATTATTTTTTTTCTTCTAAATTTTTGTAGCCTTTTGAAAGAGTTACTTGAGTTACTTGATACATAGCCTGCTGGGTGTGCAGTCTTTTAGTATGTGGCTTGACATGTAGCTTTGCATCAGAGATCTGGAGATGTATTATAGCTAAAAATGATCTTTGTGTGATATTTGTGATGTTTGCATCTAGTGCGTTGGATTATAGTTTTGCAGAAAGACTTTCACTGTGCTTTGTAACCGCCTACCAAAATAAAAAAGCAGTGAGATTCTGCTAAGAGGTGGAAGTCTTTAAGGGGAAGCGAAATATAAGGTAGGGTGTACATTTAAAATTTGGTTTCAGTTGCTTTGTGCTTGCTCTGTGTCTGGGTGTATTTAGTCTTTACTAAGTGTACCTATTTCAGTTGAGCTTCATTATGGAACTGATTTCAGGCTGAACTAAGAAGGTATTTCTAGTTACAAAATCTTGTTTCTTTCTGTACCTGAGCCCTAAATTAGGACTGTGAACAGTCAGTGAGCATATTCTCTTCATCAGACCCTGAATACATTTTTATAATCATCACCTTCCCTAGTTACTCGCTGTTCCTAAGGCCTTTATGTGACAAAGCATTTGGATTTTAGAAGTATGTCACTTTGTGTATCTTTGTGTGATTTTATTAGTGTACATGAGTGCTTAAGAGAAATGCTTGGCAGTAATTTAAGAAAGAACATTCTTTGAAGTAACGCTTATTTTCTTCTTTTCAGTTATAGAGAGATCTTTTTCACTGCACAGAACACACACTCTGAAGGATATGGAGAATATTTTCCAGCTGGTGCGCAATGTTATCCCTCCTCTAACAGGGAAAAAGCATAAAGGTCAAGATGGTCGTATAGGCATTGTTGGAGGATGTCGAGAGTAAGTTAAACAGAAGTTCGATTTTTGCTTCTGATAAAGCTTCAGGATGTCAAAACTACTTCTAGAAGCCATTCAAACTGACCTTACACTTAAACCACAGTTTCCAGAGAGCTTTAATACTCTATCATCATGACCATGCACACTTAGGAAAAAAATGGCATCTTGCAGATGTGTTCTGAAGTTTTGATACTGAATGTTATGGGAACTTAAAATACTGTTTATGTCTACCTTCTCTGTCTTTTCTGACCACCAAACTCTCTGCTTTCAGTGTTAGTCTTTTCCCATTGCATAATGAGGTTTCAGAATGAGTAGAGTAAGACAGTGGCATATCTGATTTTTTGCTTTCTTGGGAACTGTGTCTTTGTATTTTCTTATGCTGTGTTTTCTTGTGGGCTTTTTATTTTGATAAATACTGGTGTTTACTAGATTCTGTCAATACCTTGTTTTATGTACTGGAGTAATGGGAACATTCTATTTCAGGGGAGAAAAGAGATGCTGCATAAATCAGTTAAATGCTGTACTGACCTAGAAACAATATTAGCCACAATACTTTGAATGAGCCAGTACGCCTTCCTGTTTTTCACTTTCCCCTTTTGAAAGAGAGGTGACACCTCTCTCCTGTAAGAGATCTACTGCTAGACATCTGCCATTCATAAACATTCCATAAAGAGCAAAAAGGTGCTGTCTTGTAGCTGGGTCAAATAACCAGGAGTTAGAAGCTGGTGGTCATAGGTTCTTATCTCTTGGCTGAAGCAAGCACCTTTGGAGGGTGATTGTGTTCATATCTCTCTCTTCAGTCTTTATAAAGAGAATTTAGTGCAACTGGAATCACAGTTTGGGCACTTTAGTTAAGCATCTAAAGCCAGATGGGATTGATCCAGGTCACAGATCCCATATTTAGCTTGCAAGCAGTTTTTGGCTCTTTGTTTTGTTTGTCTCTAAACTTTCACCTCTGTTACTTGAGAAAATTTTGCTGGTTCATGACATGATCTTTGTAAATATTTCTATGGAAGATCATTATCTAATCTCATTCCTGTGTTTTCTGACCTAAATTTTATTTTGTTTCAGATACACTGGAGCACCATATTTTGCTGCAATTACAGCTCTCAAAGTGGTATGTGTTCTTCCATATAAGTCCAAAATGAACTTTTCATCATTTCTGTTGTCTGGGTGTCATTTTTAAAATAGCATTCCTTCTGTAGTGCACATGGACCTTGAGCTCTAGAAGGTCTTCTCTTGAGCAAAAAAAATCCTTGGTCCAGAATTTGTAGAAATACTTTGTGAATGTGTCATTTACTGTGTTTCATTCACTGTGTTTCCTTTCTCTGTGTAAGGTGAAGTTAGAAATATGTCCAGAATTTGACAATCTCAGGGACTTGGATAGGAAATTTCAGGACTTAATGAAATATTTTCCCCAAGAGTGATTACTAAAATAACCTTAGATTATTATTAAAAGTTCTGTGTTTGCACTATAGGGAGTTCTTCAGGTTTTTTTTTCTCTGGACCTGATAAGTGTGTTGAATGAAATAATTTTGTTTCAAAACTTAAAACTTTAGCCTAGTAAACTTCTTACATGCTCTAAGTTTAAAGACTGTGGGTGGAATTCAGTGTAATTCCTAATAGCACATTTTATTTGCATTCTAATCTTCAGCAGAAGTATTTTCGAAGCTTTTTTTTTTCCTAGAAGCATGAACTTCCTTATTTTATTGACAAATGGCTAAACAGACTACATAAACACAGGGTGATTGTATGAATGTAAACAAGTCATGCTCACATAATACATCTAATTTTCAGAATGCTGTTTATAGTGTGCCAGTACTTTCAGTTCATTGTGTATGTTTTTCTTTTTGAAGATTTCTCTCAATACGTAGGTAACCATCCCAGATATTTCCAACCACCTCTTCCCTCAGGATGCAAGCCCTCAAAGATTTAGAACTGAAATGATGTTATTTAACCATGTTATTATAAGATCCCAAGGCCACTCAGCTTTCTGTCCACTATGTGCAAATCCAGTGGCAATACTAGGAGGTTCGTCACTGAAGTAATTTGATTTCAGACAGTTATATCTGCCCATAAACAGAGTAGCTTGAAATGTTAAATGTATAGTAGTAAAGCAGAGAAGACACTTCCTTAATACTGGAAACTTCAGTATGCTTGATCAATACAAGATACACTGGTGTGGTCACTGCTTACATAATTTTATGTATATGCTGATTTTTGAGTTGTTAGCAGACACTTGAGACTCAGCTCTACAGCATTAATGTTTATTTAACATAGGGTGTGTTGCTGAAATTGTGCCAGCCTTTTTCTTGTATGAATTTGGCCCATTGGGTAAAAATGGTAGGACTAGAAATCTATTAATGAGTTTCCATAACTATATTTTGCATGTATGTTACAGTAGTGTTATGGCTATCTTATGTAGTTTTTCTTATGTTCATCTGTGTTCTTTTGTACATTAGATATTGTAGTCTTTGCTCATCTACATATGAGAAACATTTCTTAAGTGAATAAAGGTTTGAGATTTGTGTTTTCAGTCGTCCTGTTAGTGAGAAACAGGAAAAATATCATATTGGAAGTTAGATACAAAAAAGAGCAGAACATTTCATACTAGTCTATGCCAAAATAGAAGAGACAATAAAATTTGTTTAATCTATTGAGAAGAAAGAATTCAGTTGAATTATTGGTTGAGTAATCTTTAGAATGATAAAGCTATTATTAAGTATAAATTTGATAATGCTGTTTGCAAATTTTCTTTTTTAGGGTGCAGATTTATCCCATGTGTTTTGTACCAAAGATGCAGCAACAGTAATCAAATCATATAGTCCAGAGCTGATTGTTCATCCAGTTCTGTAAGTGACTTAAATTTTGTTTAAATGAGCTAGTCAGGCTTACAAGTTTTAATATTTCAATCTTAATTGATTACTTTGTGTTGTTTTGCTGAGTTACTGGATGGATGAGCTGGAGATCACAAAAACTCTGGGCTTTGTCCTTTCATTACAAGCAGTTAAATATTAAATGTGGGACAATCAGTGGCGAGTTTATTTTCATGACAGTCAAAATACAATTTTTAAAAAGCAGAAATCTTTCTGCTTCTTGCTGACGTGTTCTGTGATTGTAATGCATTTACAAGTGAACAGTAGCAAGATCCAGAACTACAAATTACTAGAAGTCAGCAGTTTGCAATCTGCAATTTGAAAGGCAAATGGAGTGTGCTCTCTTGCTTCTTCAGCCCTAATAGTATTTAACAGTAGTGTGTCTGTTTTCCTCTCACTACTCTGTATGTAGACACCTATGCAAAATTACCAGGCAAGAGAAATGCTAATTCTTCTTTGTGAGTATGTTGCTTGGGAATAAATGGATGTTCCAAAATCATATAAAATACAAGGTTTAATTAACAAAAAGATGAAAAGTTTAATAAGTAACTGAATAATAAATTTAATAAGTCCTCCTAAGTGGAAAAATCAGTGTGTGTGTGTGTGTGTGCGCACGCGCTTCTCCAAATTTTTGTTCTGAAATGTGTTACTGACTGATGAACTTTCACAGGATAAATTTGTTTCAGTGAGATGTTATGATGGTTTGCAATGAGCACTGCAAATGAGAGTTAAGATGTGTGCCTTAGGTGTATGCCTCTGAGCTTAGCTCGCACCAGTGCGTGTCAGAGTCTGTTGGTGTACATAGCAAAGCCGTGATTACAGTAGGAAAAGCATAATTTAAAAACATGTTTGTCAGATATTGCTGTCAGGAAGGATTTATGACAGTAGAAATATTTTGGTGTCTGAGAACAAGAATGTGATCTTCCTTATGGGGATGCCTGTTGGAAGTCAGAAGTTTATTGCATTCTGAAGGTGGGTTTCATTCCTGTCGCTGGAGACAGAGGTGTTTAGAAAGAAGGCAGCTAAACAGGGCTGTGTTTTGTTGGCTGCTTTTTCCTCCCACTCCCCAAAGGTAGAAGAAACCCATAACTTTATGGGTTTCAGACAAAATAAAAATGATGTTTGAAAGCAGGGAAGAGATAGGGTTTTTACCAGTACAGCTGTTTGCCTCTTAAATCTAAAAGGCGTCTCTTTGGTTGATGTTCTGTCATATCATATATTTGCTATCATATGATAGCAAATGCAGTGGAGAAGCCTAATGGCAATATTAACATTTAACTTGGGGTGTCTGGATGTTCCAGTTGAGATACAGCATATGGTCATCTTGTATGGCAACGAGTTGGCCTTGCCTTGGGAAAAGCACTGTTTGTCCTGATCTCTGGTAATGGAAAATGTTAATAGGAGAAATAGAAGCAGCACAGAGGAAAAAGGAGGTGAAAATAGGGTTAAGAGTAAACTTTCTGTTCATGAAGGACCAGATCGTGCCTGCTAAGTAAGAGTGGGATTTTTTTATACACAGATTCTCAGTGTCTTCTGTGGAATTCAGATTTCAGTGAAAACTCTGATCTTTCTACCTGCAAAGAGAACTTTTGATTTTAAACTTCTGCTCTGTGAGTTCCTTCAGACGTACACAGTATAGACAATCTACCAATTTTCATATCCATATATCTTTTAAGTCTGTGACTCAGTATTTAATACTCATATTGAAACTCTGATTAATTTCACGCAGACAGCTGGGCTAATTGCATGATGCACTGGATCTGTAAATATTGTTTACATGACATTCAGAATCAAAAACTGCAAATATCTGAGTGTTCAGATTTTATTTATTAAATTTTCTCATGTTTTTATCTCTTTTGCTTTGTTCTGAAACTGGGAAAGAGAAAACAGTCTTTTCTGGTTAGAAAGGAAAAAGTCTTGATTGACTCTACTGAGCCCAGGTTTTATTGAAATTTACACTAACAGCCTATTTTTCTTGTGAGGTCCTTTGTCTTCAGTGTCACACTTTTCATATGATCCTTTATATGTTGTGGAGCCGTTTGAGTTCCACAGGCACAGCCGGCTGCCCTTGATTCAGAGCCTGATCTCTTAAACACTCTTTGTACTTTCTCCCGGGCCGCACTTCACGCATGGAAGAACCTCCGGGTAAAACCCACGAGCAGCTATGTCATTGTTTTCTTTTGTGTCTCTCCTTAAAACTTGGCTTTGTTATGATTTCTCCATGACCCTTCAGAGTAACTAGGTAGCTGTTGTACCACTCTCTTATTATGCTAATCATAATTATGGCCCCGTATACTCAATTCCCTGTTTGAACAGCATGGCATTTTGCCAGGGTTCAGCTGCCATTTTGTACTGCTGGGAGTCTGACATTTTATCATCTTAGCTGCCACAGCTTTCTCTACTGCCTTCACCTCACAGGGGATCACCTCAAGGGAAGAAAATGCTCTTTTCTTGCCCCCTCTGAATGCTTGGGCTCTTCTGGCTCATTAGAGCTGCTGTTGCGGATCTTTGCCAGCATGACTGGTGAAGGTATGTGAGAGTTAGGAGTTGCACTGGAGCATTTCAGGTCTTTGGCAAGTGTCTGTCACTTGAAGGATGCAGAGAATGTTACGTGAGAATGATTGAGCAGGATGGCAGAAGGAGGGTTATGAAAACGAGCATGGCCAGGGCAGTCCCGTGTGACCTCAGATGTAATCCATCCTGGGAATCCTTTTGCTGTAACATTCCGTGCTGGCGACACCCATAGTGCCACTTTATCTGTGGTTTTTGTTTCTTGACTTCATTCCCTGGAAGTGAATGTGAGAGCTGGGACTGCATGTGACAGCTTGGGATCTGGAAAGATGAAGCCTCAGAGCCTGGCTCTGTGTCCTTGCTACCTGGGCAGAATAATGAAAGCAGTGTGTCTGGGGGCTGTCAGTGTTATCAGTAGTAACTTTTCCTTTTTATTCAGGGATTCTGTCAGATGCATTATTCCACAACTTCCACAACACCCTGGTATTATTCAAAAACTGACCAGCTAACCAGTTCAGTATTGATGTCTGACTTTTTGCTTTCCTGTGGAGGAGCAAAAAATGCATATCGCAGAAGTTGGGGTTTTTTGAATAGCGGCATATACCAAGTCTTGGTGACATCTGCTCTCCTTGGTCTTGTCACTGCTGCCCCAGGTTTGTGCTGCATTTTCCTGTTTTGTCAGCTAATGTGCTCCTACTGTAAATGCTTCACAAATATAGGCAAGATAAAGCTTAGCTTTTGCATTTTATTTAGTTCTATTGCAGGTGTTCTCTGTGTGGATTTTTGCTGTAGATGTGTGCACACTTCATACATTTCTAGAGAAGAGTTTTCAGCAGCCTTTTTTATATTTGCCATGCTAGTGGCCTGGCTCAGATCAGGTCAGACTTTTTGGATACCTGTATTGGGTTAGCTTATCCTGTCCTGGTAGGCAAGTGGTCACAGAGCTAAATGAGCTCTATGAACCCAGCTGGCTGTATGTTAGAAGAAGAGAGGATAAATCTATTGTGCTATATTCCCCTCGTGCAGGGACTTTCCAGAATTGTACAGAGATTTTCTTCACTGTAGGCCAGAAAAGAGCCAGACACTGCTGAGTAGCCCCCTTGTAAGCTGGTTATCAGACAGTTTGTAAAGTCAACAGTCGATATACTCCTTGATCTCCAGGGTTTTATCAGAGAAGTAGAATGAGGTCATTAATTTCTTGTGGTGCCAAAGAGGTGATGTAATTTTACATTATCCACCAAAAAAAACACTCTTGAACAAGGCAGAGATTTAGAACTAATACCTTCCTCTTAGCTGATTGCATCTCTGGGTTTGTGTGGACTAGGAAAGATTGTCAGAATTACTAGAAGTCTTACAGTTAATTGCAGAGTTCAGGGTTTGGGTTGCATTTTTAAAAAGGTTATTCTTTTGAGTTTGAAATAGAATAACTGGGAAGAAAATTCCCCTGGGGCTGGACTGTGTGTTGAGGCCAGTTACCTTTAATGAAGAAACTCAGTGAAGATCAGGGTTTCTAGAACACATTTTACCTAGTTTTATTGATTTTTTTTCAATTTTGACCATTTGAAAAAATCACAAAAGTGGATCATGAGTAGTTGAGGCCCTGATAAATTACTTGAGCACTCTGAACCAGTGCCAAATCTCTTATAGAAGGCCCAGAAATAATACTGAGATTTTTGGTCTCCTGTAATTATGTGGAGAGGAGATGCAAAAGCATTGATGCACTGTGGGGGGATGCTCATACCTTTTAGTTGTGTTAGCTAAGGATAGTTGTTAAACACTGCTTCAGTATAATGCTGGTACTAACCTCACTTTTGGATCGGCTGCTGGAAGAGGTGCAGAGCTGTTGTCATCAGGGAAAGTCACAGAACAAACAGATTCCTCCACCAGTCAAAAAGATGTCTCACAAATGGCTTGGCTGCTGGATCCCTGTTACACCTGCAGAGAAGATGAAGGAAGACATAAACTTTGTGATCTTTCTTCCAAAGCCTCCTTTAGACATCAGTCTGGCTAGGAATCACATGAGAAAGTTTGGGAGTTTTTTTCTTAAGTACTTAGTGGGAGGTAAAAGTCAGTTTGTATGTGCTGACTTAGAGAATTTATGTATTTAAACTCTTTCTTGTTCTGTCATGCAGTGCTGTGGCCAAAACTGGCTTATGGACCTGTTTTCTGTGTCCAGCTTTCTTGGCAAAAAACTGCTTCTTCTTTGCTGTGTGTTGCAGAGTGAATAAAAGAGGTATATTTTTCACTCTGTACTATAGTCCCTTTCCTTCCTGTTGTTGCAGAGGTCCCATGTGATTCCAGCAGAGGTTTTGTCACCTTCTCAAAATGTGAGAGTTAGTCAAAGATTTTTAGCATTGCTACAAGGAGTGCTGCTGTCCTTGCTGCTTTCTGATATGTCAGAAAGATATGTACTCCAGTTAGATCTGGCCAAATTTATCTTCCTGAATGCTTGCCATACTGCTGTG